AATGGATTACTATTGATTAGCCTACAAAAATGAGTAACAATATTAGGTCCTTTTGCTAGGAAAGGCTGATGAGACAGGATGTTCTGTCTTCCTGTGTGAAAGTGTGAGGATGTTGTGAGGGTCTTGGAAATGTTCTTTTGTTGAGAAAGCATCTTGTAGTTGACGAGTATTGTGTAAACTTCAATCTGGAGTTTATTTGGAAAACAATAATCTTGGAACAATAAGGTTTTTCAAGGGTGAAATTAGCACCATTTCACCTCTTCAGTGGCAACTCTCAGACAGTAATAGGGCTCAGCTCATTTTCCTTATTATTCCAGAAATGAATTATCGAAAAAGCATAGAGATAGTTCTAGTCTAATTTATGCCACAATTTTACTCACATGCCAGGTAGGAACTTTTCAATGCTGGGAGAAAATTATCTCCAAATTTCTCACCTCATGGCAGCTTTTTCCTCAGGAAAACAATCAAACCATCATAGTAGTTGTGCTGCTGCTAACATCTCAGAGAGAGAGACAGAGCTTTGGGTAATTATTTAAATAATGTAAGAATCTGGTGACCTCTCCCGGCATACAGATAAAGATTTAATGGCTGAGCTTGCAGTTCTTCATCTAGCAAAAGTCCCACTAAAATTAATGGGAATTTTGCCTAAGTAATGATTGTTGCATAGGAATAAGAAAGTGTATACCAGGGGCCTCATTTAGTGATAACCCAGACCTTTAATGTATTTACTTCCAGTACTGATGTATTAGTGTAATACAGCTTAAACATAATTTCTCAACCTGTTATTTTGGAGATTAATCATCTCCCCCATGAACATTTTAGTTGAAGGTAAGATAAGGGATACAATGAACTTTTGGGTAAATGCCTATGAAAAATAAGTTTTAGTTCTCTTGTACTTGACATCCTGTACATTTATAGCAGATGAATTTCGAACTCTGTATCTACAAACAATTTAATTGGCTCTGACCCCTCCCTCAGAAGAAATCTTGTCCCTGAATAATTTTAGTAGCCCCTGATTTCTCCCTCAGAAGAATTTTATTCTGGGGCAACAGATTGAAACAGTGTGACCTGATGATGGCACATGAATGTCTCTTCCTTCCCTTGCTGTTTGTGATAATCAGCACTTATGGCTTTACAGTGGGAGCCCTGTATAGTACCTGTGGCTGATAAATTTGCTTCCTAGCTCAGCTGTCCCTCTCTGGATTGAAGTTTTCTAAAGGACTAGTGTTGGATCTGATATGGGATTGAATCTTCTCAGTGGCCACAGATCTGTGCTTTAATATATTTACGTGTTGCCTCCCAGAATATCTGGTCTTTTATGATGCATTTAATAGCATAAGAAATACAGATAACTTTAATTCAGAATACATCTGGAATCTGAAATAGCCTTTCTACCTCCATCAAAAGACAACTGCAATCAATGGGAGCAAGCTATTTAAGAGCAAGGAACCTGATCCAAAGCCTACTGGATCAGACTCAAGATTTGCTGGAATACCCCCTGCAGGTGCTTTCTAAGGCATTATAGTGACTGCTGTGGGACAGATGAACTCTCCGTGGGTGTCTCAGGCTCAGAGCAGTGGTAACCTACCTCCTGCAATTTTCATGCATTCTTGTTCTCAGTCCTCCCCATCAGCATTCTTTAAACAAACAGTGGTTCCCAGCTGTGGGAGGGGCACACATCCCAGAGAACAGGATACAGTTGATTTAATTAGACTGATTATTCAAGATTAACTGACAAATGAAGAGGGCTCTCTAAACTTCAAGGTTTCTCTCTCACACAGTCAGAAATTGGTCCAATAAAACATATCACCTCACCTTGTCTCTAAATCCGACTTAGACCATTAAATTTCGTCCTAGGCAGGGGTCTATTTCCACCTACTTTGCCTACAATCTTTGTTTAGGGTAGCTTGGAGAACACACCACCTCACTCCTTATGCATGCAGCCCAGGGCACTGGGGCTTCCCAGCCTGCGTGCCTGGCAATAGTTTTCTATTCACAGTTCGCCTCCTCTAGCAGCGTCCCTGCAGGAAAGAGTAGTACCCTGCCAGTGAGGATGGGGGGGAGGGCACAGTAATACCCCCTTAAGGTGAAGGTGGAGACTGTGCAAGTGACAGCCAAGCTGCCTATTCCCCCTGTTCATCTCAGGCCTGTCTGAAAGGGAGCAGCAGAAGCTGCCGCTGCAACCTGTAAGGCTAGCGAGGGTGACAGGCTGAGGGTAGCGGGGGACTTGCAGCTCTCCCCCTTCGCTGTTTAAGGGATTCCCTTCCAGCCACCTGACAGGTCCAGCCACGTGCGCGCCCCCCGGCCCAGGCCGGGATGCAAAGCCCGGGGGAGCTCGGCGCGGCTCCTTACATCTGGGCGCCAGCCTCCAGGAGGCGGTGTCGTCACGGGC